ATATATATATATATATAATTTCATTTACGTTAATGTAATGAATTTGTACCAAAAGAACCTTAGAAAACTTACCTAACCTAATCTTTGCCAAAAATTGAGCTGAGTGTATCTACTAGCCATTTGGATAATATATAAACTGAACCCACGGAGGTAATTATACATCTGGCTGGATGACCTGGTGTGTCTGTTTATTAATACATATATGACAAAGATGAGTTGGCGGCCATGTTGTATAAATAATTTATAATTCCCTTTTTTTAATCGTTTCTTTAATGTTACTGTAAACTAATTCTAAGGAATTATTTCAGAATTTGCAATAAGTATCAGTATTATTTACAAAATTAATCATCATAACTTGGTATTTTTTTTTTTTTTTTTTTTTTTCAAAATTACTTTTGCATATATTTTGTCTCTTTAGTAATATTCATCCTTGTGGCTTAGCGCTTCTTTTTGATTATAATAATAATTTAGTAATATTCAAAAATTATTAATGTATTTAATGATAGATATTTATTTGCTAACTTAGGTAAAGTTTGTCAGGAAACAGGACAAGTGTTTCCTGACGCTGGATTATGACCCGCCTTTGGAGCTTTTGGTCATCTGACCGAGGCCTTCCACTGGCTTACCGGTCCATCCCTTTAAAAATAATAGTCATTTATAACCAATTGATTAATTATTTACTAATAAAGAATCCCTTAGATTCAGTACCTTGAACAAAACCTTAAAAATAAGTCGTGAAATTCATGGATAAGCTATTTAAAAAATTTGCGGCTCATCCGCATGAGCTGCAGAGCTGCAGTCCTCCCCAGATGCTCACTGCCAGACGTATGACTTCATCAACCTCACACTAAAATAATTTCAACTGACATATTACAGGAAAAATCTGTTGTATGTTGTTTTCGATGTATTTATAAGCGATTTTTTTTGTTGAAAAGAGATAAAAATTATTAAAAAAATAGAAGTTTGATGCGTTACGATAGAATTAAATGTTTTTAGTAATATATATAAGTATGCATTAATCAAAACAAAATCAGTAGATAATGCAGCCAGACCCATTTTTAGCTCCATAGTTCCTGTTTCCTACAAAATAGTAGATTGAACCCAGTTGGTAGTGTTTAAATTTAATGTTAATATTGAATAAGTTGATAGATTAAGCACTGTGGCTGAATTAAATACAATTCGTTAGTATTGATGTTACTATGTTATTTACAAAAGTTCCAGTTAATGACTTATTAAGTTTGAAGACCTCTGTTATTACTCTTTACTATTGTCTGTATTAACAATCATCGACCTTATTAAACTTATCATTGTCGACTCATAATTTACGTTTAGTTGTGAGTTTTACACTAAGAAGTTTGGTATGGCAATGGGAAATCCCCTCTCACCAGTCCTTAGCAATTTCTTCTTGGTTTCTTCAGTCCAGTGCAGAGAAACAGCGGACTAAAGAAGTTACTGACTAACCAAACGTTTCTAGAATAAACGTTCTTAAATACTGCACATGTGTCTCATCAACTGTTTTATAAACCATTAAAACTGAGAGGAAAACACTCTGAGGAAAGGTTTAATGGACTGAAATTAACGACGTAAGAGAAGAGAAATAAAAAATATTAATTGGAATTGATAAGGAAGATTAGAACAGACTAAATTAAGAGGACAATGATAAAGGAGACACAGGTGGAAACAACAGATATAGATGAGTCAAAGGGATTTAAGGAAGTATTTGTTTATTCTACGTGTGTGATGGACAAGTGGAGTAACTTGGATGAGGAAATGGTTGGGGCAAACTCAATACAGAGCTTCAAGAGTAGTTATGATAAGGTCCAAGAGACAAAAAATCAGTGACACCGATTAAAAAGTGTGAGATGCGAGGTCAAGTGCTGAGTCACGACCCCTGCCAACAAATCTCACTGAGAATCGTCAAGGGAGAACACTAAGGAATCGTTCAAGACTCTGTACACTGTGTACGTCAGGTCCATACTGGAGTATGCAGCACCTGTTTGGAACCCACACCTGGTCAAGCACGTCAGGAAATTAGAGAAAGTGCAAAGGTTTGCAACAAAACTAGTCCCAGAGCTAAGGGGATTGTCCTACGAAGAAAGGCTAAGGGAAATCGGCCTGACGACACTATAGGACAAGAGAGTTAGGGGAGACATGATAACGACATATAAAATACTGCGTGGAATAGACAAGGTGGACAGACAGAGGATGTTTCAGAGATGGGACACAGAAAGAAGGGGTCACAATTGGAAGTTGAAGACTCAGATGAATCAAAGGGATGTTAGGAACTATTTCTTCATAGAGTTAGCAGGAAGTGGAATAGTCTAGCAAGTGATGTAGTGGAGGAAGGAACCATACATAGCTTTAAGACGAGGTATGATAAATCTCATGGAGCAGGGAGGAGGAGGACCTAGTAGCGATCAGCTACTAGGTCAGGAGCCGAGTCTCAACACCTGCAACCACAATTAGGTGAATACACAACACACATACGCACCCCCCCCTGTGGGGTTTTAGCATACAACCCCCCCCCCCCACACACACACACAAGATAACACAGCATATTCAACCCTTTACCAGGCCTGGTAAAGGGTTAACAGTATAGAATCTAGTTTACGACCACTTCCTCTGGCTCTCCCAACAGCCATACTTTTTTCAAAGAGAGAGTCCAACCCTCTCCAACCTAATTAATTGAATTTCTAGCTAATCCCCAGCTAGTTCATTGAATGTTCTTTTTTTCTGACGTAGATTTCTACAGAAAAGCCCAGTTCCATTTTCTGCTTCCCCTTACCTCCTTAAATAAATAATATTATATATATATATATATATATATATATATATATATATATATATTATATATATATATAATATTATATAAAATATATATATATATATATTATAATATATATATAATATTATATATATATATATATATATATATATATATATTTTAGTACATACATAGTGCCGATTTGGTAAAAGGGTCAATTAGCAAGAACTCATTTAAAATCAAGTCCTTTCTCAAATTTTCTCTTATCTGGAGTTTACCTGGAGAAGGTTTCGGGGGTCAACGCCCCCACGGCTCGGTCTGAGACCAGGCTTCACGGTGGATCAGGGTCTGATCAAGCAGGCTGTTAATACTGGCCGCACGCAAGCTGACGTACGAACCCCAACCCGGGTTGGTCAGGTACTGACTTTAGGTGGTTGTCTAGTGCCTTCTTAAAGATATTTAAAGATGTGTTTTTTTCATTTATGTTAATATAAAAGTTAATGATTTTGTACCAAAAGAACCTTAGGAAATTTACCTAACCTTATTATAACAAGCGCAATTTAATTTAGCCTTATCCAACTAAAAAATATATTATATAAGTTTACCCAAAAATTTAATAATAAACACTATGAAATATATTTTTTTCGTTGTATTTAGAATTCCGACGTAAGACAGAGAACAAGATCGCACATGAACAGGGAGGATTTAGAATGCGTAGGGGATATGTAGACCAAGTGTTTACACTGAAGCGTATAAGTGAGCAATATTTAGTAAATGTAGGGAAGTTTTCATTTAATTAATGAATTTAGAAAAGGCTTATGTCAGAGTGGATAGGAGATCAATGTGGCGGATGTTGCAAGTTAACAAATGCTGTAAAGAGTTTTGACGAGGATAGTGAAGCTCGGTGAGGATAGTGAGGCTCGGTTAGGTTACCAGTATCTCTGAGAGGTTAAATAATCACCAGATATAAACCAAACGAAATGTAAACTTTGCAAGAGGGACTAATATCACACCTTGCTTCATTATGTACTGGAATGCGATCATATTAATGACTTCAGAGACAACTCACTCAGAAATGTTAATGAAAGTAATTTATACACAGTATTTTATGTGTACGAATGGTATATAATACCGACAAGATGAGAGTAAGACACATGTGCAACATCTGGGTATCTTTATTGTAGACGTTTCGCCATCCAGTGGCTTTATCAATACAAATTCTAGGACATAACTTGAAGACAGTAGAACTATGTACAGAAGATGAGGTAATCAGTCCCTCAACCTAGCAGTAGGTGAGAACAGCACCATAGTCGTGGAGATTCTGAAGCAGAAGAAAGAATCCTGGCGCTTATATAGTAACGTCAGGTGAAGCAGACGAGGGCAAATTCACTGGTAGGCGGGATTCCCCAGTGGAAGTAGTATTTTATACACAGTGGTATATTACAAACCATTCTGGAAACATACCCTGTCTTTGTCCACTGTAAATAACGCATATTCTTTTTATTTCAAGCATATTTTCTAATATATAGGATAATATTTTGTGTGTGTGAGACCTAATTCATATCATCTATATAACTCATTACGGTTGTAGTCAGGGCAGGTAACATCTGTAAGAAGAATAGACACAAATTACAGGGAGGATTGAATACTTACCCTGGTCAGAGAACTGGCTGGGGAAGTGTCACACTTTAGTAATTATTGAAGGTACGCGGCGCTGGAGACTGAAATTCTCTAGCTTATAAGAGAAAAGGAACACTGAAATAGGCCTACTGGCCCATGCGAGGCAGGTCCAAGTTTCCTACCGGAGAGTGGATGTGTGGAACAAACTCCAGAGTACCGTCATAGACGCTAAGACGTTGTGTTGGTTTAAAAATAGGTTGGGTAAATACATGAGTGGGTGTGGGTGGATGTGAGTTGGACCTAACTAGCTTGTGCTGCTGGGTCAGATGCCGTGTCTGCCCTCACTAGATCAAGGAGAGAATTGGAGTTGCCTCGCATAGGCCAGTAGGCCTGTTGCAGTGTTCCTTCTTTCTTATGTTCCTTCTCAAGCTTCAAGCTTCTTCCTCCAGGAAATCTAACAAAATCTTGCACACCCGTAGTTTGTATTTTATACCGTTTATCTACACAATGTTTCGGCATTAAAATATCCTTGAATGGTAGTGAATACTTAATAGGTAACATTAATAACCGTGTAGTCGATAAATTAATATATACAAGTTATTTTATGACTTCTCAGTGCCTCCAGTGATCGATGATGTCAGCAGCAGCAGTGATGTCACCGTAGACGAGGGCAGTGATGTAGTGATGACCTGTGAAGCCAGAGGGGATCCACACCCAGTCATACGCTGGGTTAGAGAGGACGGTCGGAGATTCAACCTCAACTTCTCTTCCACTGGTGAGTTGACATCATAATTCCCACTGGTGAGTTGACATCAAAATTCCCACTGGTGAGTTGACATCAAAATTCCCTCGTTAAATTTTATTAAGCCTTTATTTTAGATGACGTGGCCGAAGAGGTAGAACCTTCGGGGTCACAACTAAAGGACCTGGATTCGATTTTAGCACAAATGAGACCTTATGGTATTTCTTACATCTGCTTCCCTGTTCACCTAGCAGTAAGTAGGTACCTGGGTGTTAACCGATTGTTGTGGGCGGCGTCCTGGGGAAGAGGATCAAAGGGCCACGAAGGAAATAAGGCATAGCAGGTTTCTTGGGTTAATCCCTAAGGTTAAAAGTGCAGCATTATTCGTGAATATTTTAGGTTATACATGAATGGTGTACAACAACGACAAGATGACAATTAGTCACATGTGCAACATCTGGGTATCTTTATTGTAGACGTTTCGCCCTCCAGTGGCTTTATCAGTACAAATTCAAGGGCATCAAGGGAAGACAGAACTATATACAAAAGATGAGGTAATCAGTCCCTCAGCCTTGGAGTTGGTGTGAGGAGCACCAAAGTCGTAAAGATTCTGGAGCGCAAGCAAGAAGGTTGGTGCTTGTATACTGTCGTGAGGTGGACAAGGACGGGTAGCAGACGAGGGCATAATCACTGGTAGGCGGGATTCCCCAGTGGAAGTAGGTCATACCCAAGGGACGGGTTGGTGGCAGTTGTCGTAGTAGTAGCCGTGAAGAAGGTTGTGTAAATGTCATCTGAACCAAGATTCCATGATGTTGCAGTGTCTGACAAGTTGTACATGAATGGTATATAATACCGACAAGATGCAGACATGACACAGCTCATCACTCACTCCAGTATAGATACACTCACACACAAAACACAAAATGAGGGTGACAGGAAGGAACGAACGAACGAACAAGTTCAGGTAAGATCCCAAATGGGATGAGCTGGGAAGACGGGACAGACGAAGAATAGCTCTGGAGAGTAGTGTTCTTAAGTCGTAGAAATAGAGCCAGGGCTTAACCCAGCAGCTAAGGCGATCGTGGGACAGACATTGAGAACAGAAATTCAGGCTCTTCTGTTGGGACTCCGGTGGGGTGAGCGGGGAGGTCGGGACAGGCGAAGATTAGCGCTAGAAAGGAGTGCAAAATTGAGCCATGTCTTAACCCAAAAGCTAAGGCGAACGTGGGTCAGAAAATGAACATCGCAAGATACCTGTCAGAGAATCCAAGGTTAGTTGTAAATAGGGCTAGGAGCAGGATCATGCAAGGAGTAGAAAGGTTGTCTTGGTTTGTGGGTCTGCGAATGTCTTCTTCAAGGAGAGAGGTCTAGTAGTCATGTTGTGTCTCAAGTTTGTCTATCTGTCTGTCACTGAGCGTCTTCCAGTACAGATTCAGCGCAGGGATGTCTAATTGGGCATGGAGAGACTCGCTTGTGGCGAAGTCCTCCAATCTGACATCAAGCACTCAGCACAGCGCCTTGTTCTGGACACGCTGCAGTTTAAGTAAGTTTGTTTTAGCTGCAAGAGAGAGGGCTAGAGGAGAGTAAGTTATCAGAGGACGTATTAGGGATTTGTAGAAGTGTAGTTTGGTGCGTTGAGAGGCATGTTTCAGCTTGTAGAGGCCCCCAAGGGCTTTACTAGATATTGCATGCCTTGAGTGAATATGACCTTGTAAAAGGACAGTGACAGATTGTATGATGGGGATGTAAGTGCGGGTGTCAGCTGTTCTGAGCTCAACAGGTAATGGAGGATCACGTTTCCTGTAGTTAAAATATGTGATGCTGGATTTAGCTGCATTGGTTTTGATCCTCCATTTTTGTTCCCAGATGGCAATCCTGTCGACCTCATTTTGTGTTTTGTTTGTGAGTGTATCTATTTTGGCGTGAGTGATAAGTTGTGTAATGTCGTCTCCATAGGCTAGTGTGATGGAGTTGTGGTATACAGGTGTTGGAATGTCGTTAGTGTATAAAATGTAGAGGGTAGGGGAGAGGACATCCCTGGGGTACTCCAGCATTTAGTGTGAAGTAGTCAGAGTAACAGCCTTGGAATTTGATTCTCATGGTACGGCTGTCTAGGAAGTTGCAGAGGAGTTTACGAGTAGTGAGAGGCAGGTTAAAGTTAGTGCAGAGTTTGTACTTGAGCCCTTCGTGCCATACAGTGTCAAAAGCTTTTTCAACGTCTTTTGCAACCAGGGCTGTCCTGTTTCTTTGTTTGTGTTTATGTGGATGTAGTTGAGAATGATGTTAATGGCATCCTGTGGGGGATCTGTGTGTTCTGAAGCCAAACTGGCCATCAGAAAGTAGAGAGTTGTGTTCCAGGTATCTGCGAAGGCGATGATTGATGAGTTTTTCAAAGAGTTTTCCTAAAGTTTCGAGGAGGCTGATAGGACGATAGTTTCTAGGAACAGGTGGTGTTTTATTGGGTTTAGGAAGGAGGTTTAGCAGTAGCAGCTTTGAAGAGGGAAGGGAAGTATCCAGAGGCAAGGGAGGCATTGAGGAGGTTTGTGTAGGCAGTAAATGACAGAGTCAGGAAGGTATTTCAGGATTATAGGGTTTTTGGGCCCAAAGGGGGACCAGGGGCCTTGGGAGGGAGGTGTCTGAGGGAGGTTTTAATGTCTGTGTTGGTGAAAGGAGTGTCAGTTCTTGGGAGGAGGTAAGAGAGTCTAGATGTATGCGGCTATCTGGTGTTGTTTCTTGTGCGTGTGCAGTGTTCGTGTTCTATGTTCTGAATGTGTTGAATAATGTTAGGGTGAGGGTGGAAGATGTTCTCCCAGATGTGTTTGAAGATTTAGTAGCAGCCTGCGGGTTTGGATGTGTGTGTTGTTGTGGGTGATGTTTGAATTTGTTGGTGGGGAGTTGTCCTCTGATTTTTTTGATAAAGTTCCAGAAGGCTTTAGTGTTTTTAATACGCTGTTTGTCCGCTTGTTGTATGAGCTGTGACCAGTGATTGTTGTGCTCTTGGTCTAGGCTGTGTAAAATGTTGTTTCTAAGGTAAGTGAGATCTAATCGTACTTGATTAAATCTATGTGTGTTGTAGAGGAAGCGGTTGTGGTGGCAGATAATTAGTCTTCTTGTTCTGAGTGACGGTTTGAAGGAATAACGAGTAATGTGAGTTTTCTTTGGTATTGCGGTGTTGGCTGCTTGTGTAATGGTGTCTTGGATGAGAGCAAGTTGAGTGTCATTGTCAGAGATAGGTTTGTTGTTGTAGTCATAGGTGAGGTTAGTATTGTCTATGTGTTGTTTGAAAGCATCCCAGTCAGCGTTCTTGTAGGAGAAGGAAGGTGTGGCTGGGCTGAGGATAGGTTGGAGGAGAGGGTGCAAGTTTGACTGGGATATGATCAGAGCCTGTAATAGGGCCAGGTGAGATGTAGTGTTGAAATAGAGAGCTGGCTCGGTTTGCCAGAATGATGTCTGGTTTGCCTTGGCCCGTGTGGTTGTAGAAGGTGTTGAAGTCTAGGCCGAGATGAATTAGGTGTTTATGGTTAGTGAAGTTGGTAATTGGTTGACCAAATTGGTTGTTACTGGTGTGATGAAAGGTGGTGTGTTTTGGCATTCATGTCAGCTAGTAGGTATGTTGGTGTGTTGGTGTAGTTGAAGACTAAGGAGAGGTCGTGTATTTTGAGAATAGTGTTTGGGCGGGCATAGGTGGTGAAAAAATAAAGGGGCCAAGGTTGGTGGTATTCTGACTGCAAGACAGTGTTGGGAATAAAAGGGATTGGGAGAAATTCGTGTTTTATGTTGGATTTGACAAGGATGGCAAACCCCATCGTGGGGATTTATAGGGGGACTGTAGTGCAGTATAACCATAATGCGGATACGTTGAGGGGCTTTGAGGCAGGTACTGTTTAGCAAAAACAATATCTGGCCTCTCTGCTTCAAGGAGCTCGGCCAGTAGGTGTCAATTGTAAAGTAAGAACGTACGTTTAACTGAATCACTTTTAACATGATTTTTAATGGTTTTGTCATAGCAAAATTAATGTCGGGGGAGGAGTTTGGGTTAAAAAACCCGTGATAGTGGGGCCATCAGTGGATGCGAGTTTGTAGGTGTTATGGACCCGTTTCCTGGAGGGGGAGGAAGAGATGGATCTGTTTTTATGTTCTTTGGTCTGTCTGTCAGAAGTTGAGGAGGTTTAGGTTTGAGTGGATTTTGTCTGGAGGAGGTGGAGTTGGACCTGGATGAAGTTTTGGTTGTGGTGGAGGAGTGGGCGAAGGTGGATGCAGAGGAAGTGGAAGCTTTGGTTGGGGATGAGGAAGTGGCAGCTATGATAAGGGATGAGGAAGTGGAAGCTTTGGTTGGGGATGAGGAGGTGGGTAAGGAGGTGGTGGGTAAGGAGGTGGGTTTAAAGGGGGGTCGTAGCAGCAGCAGTGGGGGGTGTTGGTGGGAGGGGTAGAAGTAGTGAAAAGGGTAGGGAGGAGGAGAGTGGTTAGTGTAGGAAGTGAGGGGGGGAAAGAGGGAGGAGTTAGAGGTTGTAGGGGGTTTAGAAGGGGAAGCAAGAAGGAGGGATATTAGAGAGGGAAGATTGTTAGCAGACAAGATTAGGTTAAGGACATATGATTAGTCTGATTGGTAAGCTTTTAGAGATTCCATCGCAAAGTGGGCAGCAGTGGCGAGTTGGCAGTTAGTTTTGTAGTCTAGTGTGGGGGTAAGTGTAGATGGAGAGGTGTTTTTTAGTCTGTGTGTTGGTGTTTGTGTGGAGGGTAGAAGAGGTAGACCAGGTGCGTGGGGAGGCCCAGGCATTGGGGTGGAGGAGGGCGGTTTGGTAGGGGAGGGAGGTACAGGGGTGGGTTGGGGAGGGAGGGGTTGGCTACTCTGAGGGAGGAGAGAATGTCTTTTCTAGAGGGGCAGGAATTTGCAACTGCAGTGTGTGACCCGCCGCAGTTAGAAAAATTTAAAGGGAGGTTGCAAGTATTCCAGAAGTGGCCAGTTGCTGAACATCTGGAGCAGACTTGTGTAGATGTACGTGTTTTTGCCGTGGCCGAATTTGTAGCATTTA